TCTGTGTGTGTGTGTTCCTGTATGTACAGCTATGTCTGTGTGTGTGTGTGTGTGTATGTGCCTGTATGTGTATCTATGTCTGTGTGTGTGTGTACCTGTATGTGCCTCTGTGTCTGTGTGTGTGTACCTGTATGTGCATCTAGATCTGGGTGTGTGTGTACCTGTATGTGCAGCTATGTCTGGGTGTGTGTGTGTGTGTGCGCGCCTGTATGTGCATCTGTGTCTGGGTGTGTGTGTACCTGTATGTGCATCTAGGTCTGGGTGTGTGTGTACCTGTATGTGCAGCTATGTCTGGGTGTGTGTGTGTGCGCCTATAGGTGCATCTGTGTCTGGGTGTGTGTGTACCTGTATGTGCATCTAGGTCTGGGTGTGTGTGTACCTGTATGTGCAGCTATGTCTGGGTGTGTGTGTGTGCGCCTATAGGTGTATCTATGTGTGTGTGTGCGCCTGTATGTGCATCTATGTCTGTGTGTGTGGGTGCAGGTGCGCCTGTATGTGCATCTATGGCTGGGTGTTTGGGTGTGTGTTTGTGACTGTATGTGCATTTATGTATCTGTGTGTGTGTGCCTGTATGTGCATCTGTGTGTGTGTGTGTTTGTGTGCGCCTGTATGTGCATCTATGTCTGGGTGTTTGTGTGTGTGTTTGTGTCTGTATGTGCATTTATGTCTGTGTGTGTGTGTACCTGTATGTGCATCTGTGTCTGGGTGTGTGTGTGTGTACCTGTAGGTGCTTCTGTGTGTGTGTGTACCTGTATGTGCATCTGTGTCTGGGTGTGTGTGTGCCTGTATGTGCATGTATGCCTGGGTGTGTGTGTGTGTGCCTGTATGTGCATCTACGTCTGGGTGTGTGTGTACCTTTATATGCATCTGTGTGTGTGTCTGTATGTGCATCTGTGTCTGGCTGTGTGTGTGTGTGTGTACCTGTATGTGCATCTGTGTCGGGGGGGCGTGTGTGTGTGCGTGCGCGCGCCTGTATGTGCATCTACGTCTGGGTGTGTGTGTACCTTTATGTGCATCTGTGTGTGTGTGTCTGTATGTGCATCTGTGTCTGGCTGTGTGTGTGTGTGTGTACCTGTATGTGCATCTGTGTCTGGGTGTGTGTGTGTGTACCTGTATGTGCATCTGTGTCGGGGGGGCGTGTGTGTATGTGTGTGTGTGTGCGCGCACGCGCCTGTATGTGCATCTACGTCTGGGTGTGTGTGTACCTTTATGTGCATCTGCGTGTGTGTGTGTGTGCCTGTATGTGCATCTGTGTCTGGCTGTGTGTGTGTGCGCTCGCGCGCATGTCTGTGGGGGTGGGGGCGGGAGGGAGGGGGACTGTTTGCCCCCTTTGAAGAGTTCTGCCTTGGGGGGCAAGGACCAGGAGGTGGCGGCAGGTAGAGCAAACCCTTCCCGGAGGGGGTGGCGCGGTGGGTGGCTAGCTGGGCCCCCTGCCCCCCCTGGGGAAGCCCAGTTGAAATGGCTGGGGGGGCGGAGTGTGGGGGGAAGAAGAAAGAGTAGGAGGAATGAGCGAAGTGGCATTTCCTGGCCTGGGGCCTGGGGAAGGGAGGCTGTGGAATTTATTTAGAAAAGCCTTCAAACCAGTTGCTTACGGGTTTTGTTTTGTTTTCACTCCTCTAGCCCGTCACTCTGGTTCCTTTTCAGAAATCTAAGCGTTGTTTACGTGGCTGTCTGGGACAAAATCAATGTTCCCCGAGAGGCAGGGTCCTCAAGTTCAGAAACTAGGCTGTGGCCACGAGACTGGGGATGCCCGTGCGCTAAGCCGGCCGGCCTTGATTTCCAGAAGCACAGGCCCTTCCTTCCTTGGGAGGAAAGGAGCGCCCCCGCCCCCGCCCCCCAGCACCTCATGTCTGCTCTGGACAACAGACTCAGCTGCCTTGGGTCACTTTTGGAGGAGGGAGCAGTGGTTCTGAAGGGGAGGGATTTGGCTTCCGAGTTGAGTCATTGTTTCCCAGCGGTTTGACCCAGGCTTTTTTTTCCTGCACAATTCGGGGCACCCCAAGATCTCCTTTTCCCCTCCCAAAGCTCTCTGCTTGCCACCGCGGCACACCGTGCTATTTTAGGCCCTCTGTCCACCCAGGTATTTTCGGCCCTTGCGGTTTTCTGCTGTGAGTCAGTTTTCATAATAAATTGTGTAGGCAGCTGGGGGTCTGCCTTTCCTGAGACAGGAAGGGACAGCGAGTCCTTGACGTTTGGCGAGGTCGTGAATTCCTCCAGCACACCAGCGCACGGAGGGAGGCGGCCGGCCCCCACCCGGAGTCTGGCAGGGCCAGAAGCGGCAGCTGGGGGCGGGGGGGCGGGGGGGCGGGGGTGGGTGGGGTGGGGTGGGGTTCCTGGGGAAGGAACATCAGCCAGCTTAGGGGGGTGAGCCTGGTGAAGAAGTGTCCTGGGGCTGATGTTTGTGGTCTGCCTCCCTTCTCCCTTCTACTTTTCTGTTCCAGTCTGTCGGAGGAAACTGACAACATTGCATTAACCACTTTGCACAATTGTTTTCTCATTTTTATACCCGGGACCTGTTTGCACAAAGATGCCCTGCAATCTCATTAGCTCCCCTTCTGCCTTCCTCCTGATTAACTGTCCCCGTAGACTTGGATGTGGCCGCCACCCAGCATCCCCCCAGCCCATACCCAGGGGCCTTCCAAGGTTTGCCTCTTGCTCAGACAGACCTGCTTCATCTATGCTGTCTAGGGTTGGACCTTTCCTCTTCTCTATAACCTTCCATGACTCCCCGTGTTCCATTGTTCTGCCGTCCTGTAGAAGCAGGAAAGTGTGAGCCTCGTGGTTAGTTTAAACATTTCTTAGCAGCCACGTTTTAAAAAGTACAAAAAACGGGTGAAAGGAATTGCAGCAATGCGTTTTACTTAACTTCACTTATCTAAAATGTTACCATTTTCAGTATAAAAAAATTATGAATGAAATATTTCATGTGAATGTTTTACAATTTCTCAAAATCCAGGGTGTGTTTTATGTTGACGTCATATCCCAAATTGGATGCTAGTATTTTGTCAGAAACGTTTGATCTAGATTCAGAGCCCATGACGTTCACTGTTGGAAAAGTAGATTCACATAGCCAAGGTGCCCCTCGGAAAGGTGGGAAAACTTAACGTAAGTTTCTGTACGCTTATGGAATTTTCCAGTAATTGCATGGTGTATTAGATTTTTTTAATTTATTATTTTTTTTAAGAGAGAGGGAGAGAGCATGCAAGTGGGGCCAAGGGGCAGAGAGAGAGGGAGAGAATCTTAAGCAGACTCTGTGCTGAGTGCGGAGCCCAATGTCGGGCGGGATCTCACAACCCTGAGACCATGACCTGAGCCGAAATCGAGAGTCAGACGCTTAACCGACTGAGCCACCCAGGCACCCCTGGATTTTAAATTTTAAATCATGTAACCTTGAAATACAATGTAAAAATTCAGTTCCTGGGTCCCAGCGGCCACTCTGTGAATGCCAGTAGCTGAGTGGTGTGTGTGTGTGGTGGGGGGAGCTGCTGGGCAACCATATCGGACAGCCCAGATGGAGAATATTTCCATTCTTCCACAAGGTTCCAGCAGGCAGACTTACACAGTAAATGCCAAATACCTCCATAGGGCTTTCAGATTTCTTACAACCCGGCCCCAACCTGTCTAGCTTTATTTATTGACTCTGTTTGACATGTGTCCACTTTCCCATGCTTCTTTTTCCCCTCTGAAATCCCCTGTTCTCTCCTCCCCCAGAGAAATCTCCTCTTTCCGTCTCTGCTTAAAGGCAGAGAGCTTCCTCGAACGAGTCTCCCCTTCTCCCCGCGGCATAATTAATTGCTGCCTCCGCTTCCCATGGGTTCCCGAAGACGAGGCAGAATGTGTGTGGGGGGAGAGGCAGCAGGACCGTGGCACGCCGCCCTGGGAGCTCATTTCTTCATTTCTCCTGAGGCAGGTTTGAATGGATCTTCTAAGGCTGCGGGGTAGCCCTGCCCCTTTAGAAAAACATGGTGACACAAGGGCTGCGCTGTGTCCTCCAGCTGCCCCAGGGCCAGGCCGCTGAGCACAGGGCTGCAACAGGAACACACCCTGGGTACTGGCCACGTAATTCTAGGCGGGCATGAGCTCTGCCCCCGCCAGGGGCCGGGGGGTGGAGGGGGAGTGGGGTGGGGCAGGAGCGGGAATGGGGGGGGACCCTTTCTTTGCCCTCACAAAAGGAAATCTGTGCTTGGGTCCGATACTCCTTTCTCGAAATGGGAGCCGGCGTGTGTGTGTGTGCGTGCGCGCGTGTGTTTACTTTTTAAAACTGTAACATACAAATAGAAAAGTGCACACATCGTAATTGTACCGCTTGGATGTTCACGCAGTGTGCACACCATGTGACCGCCCCCAGGTGAAGAAAAAGCACAGGAGCGGCCCCTTAGAAGACCCCCGCACCCCCCCACCCCTTCCAGCCTCCACTCCCCACCCCTCCAGGAACAACCACTTCCCCGACTCGACTTCTGGCCCATGACTCATTCTGCCTGCTTCTGGATGTAAATGGCATCACACCGTGTGTCCGTCTCTGCCCTCTGGCTTCCTTCAGATGCACTCTCTTTGCCATAGTTTGTGGTTGAGTTTGAATGCCTTTGTCTTTTCCGGCATCTAAAATGCTTTTAGTCAAAACCACAGTGGTGAAAAAGAAGACAATACTCCATATGAAAGACAGGCCACTGTTGCTTGGTCCTTTTGAAGTGTGGAGAAGAAAAGCTTCTGCTCTAAATGGGGTGATGTGTGCCCACGGGATTTTTCTAGGTTTTGATGATTTGGGGTTGTATTTACCTTTTAGCTTCATTTAGGGAATCCCTTGTTAGGGTGATCATTCTTGGGTCTGGGAGGGACATTAGCTCCCTTTCTGGCTTTTGGACAAGGCTGGACACAAGCCTTGTCTTCATGTTTTCTGTTTGTCCAGTAGAAATTGGAAGATTCAGGTGGACGAGGGAGAGGGAGAGGGGGGTGTCACTCGCATTTCTGATCCCGTGTCTTCTGGTTTTGCTTTAGGTAAAATGTCTGTTCCAGGATCCTACCAGGCGGCCGCTGGGCCTTCCTCGGTGCCAACTGCGCCCCCGTCCTACGATGAGACAGTGGCCGTCAACAGTTACTTCCCCATGCCTCCTGCCCTCGTGCCGGGGCCAACCACAGGGCTGGTGACCGGCCCGGATGGCAAGGGCATGAATCCGCCTGCCTACTACACGCAGCCAGTGCCCGGCCCCAACGCCAATGCAAGTATGTGCCACCTCCCGTGCCCCCCTTACCTCTCCTTGGCCCTCCACCCTGGCCTTGGGGACTCTGCGAGAATCAGGGAAGCCACAGAAGCAAGTCCGCTTAAGGGTCTAAGCCAAGTGCCCGTCAGTCCGTCTAAACCCCTCGTCCTGGAATGTGTCCCATCTAGTCTTCTGGGTTCCATGTCTCCGGGGCTTGTGTCTTTTTCCTAACAAAGCAGTTTATGAGCTCTCCCAAGTCGGCTGCAAAGCGATTGTTTGGTGCTAACCACAGAGGTGCACCAACAATCCCAGAGAAACTGGGGAATGTGGGAGTGTGCTTTTAAGGGCCCCCACCCTTCCTGCTGAGGCCAGGGCTGCAGTGTGGGGCGGGGGGAGAAGAAACAGCTAGGAGTTAGGAACTGGTGAGCAGACACTGGCCCAGCCCACGCACGCTTCCCTGCCTTCTAGCAACTTCTCTGTGGCCTTGACCCCTGGGACTTCCTGCCGCCCAGGTGTGCCCAGGTGCGTAGCTGTTTCAGTATCCCCAGCAGCTGAGAGGGAGGAATCGCCAGCTCAGAGAGTAGGCCCGTGAGTCAGACTGCCTGGGTTCACCTGACCGCTTGGTGCCTCAGTTTCCCCACCTATAAAATAGGGTTCATCAAGTGCATCCATCAGTGGGTTTTTCAGATGAAATAAAGTTCTGTGAGTAATCCTTTGATAAAAGTGAGCTATTGTCGTGTTTGAGTAACTTTGACCCCTTCAGATAGAAGAGAACAAGGTGACTTCAGGCTGATCATGCTTTGGTCAATAATTTATTGCACCAAAAAAAAAAAAAAAAAAGACTTTAATACAGCTTACATGTGAGTGGTCAGGTATGCTTAAATACTGCTTTTTTGGAAGGAGAGTCTTTCTAGAAGTATTAAGTTCTGTTGGCTTGGACAACAATGAATTTCCCCTAACACATAGATTATAGAAATGACATTCCAGCACCGCAGAAAGGAACAGAAGGAAGTCACTTTGACAGAAATACGAGCTCAAACAACTTTGCCAAAACCCAAAAACATTCTGAATGCTAAGGACTTCATGATTTATATCACTCCGGGCTCTCTGGTGACTGTGAATGCCTGTATGAGTTTTTCATATCGTTTTCTCTTTTTAGCACAATTTTATGTACTCATTTCATGTGTCAGCTCGATTCCCAGACTCCTTGCAAAGCCTGGGCCAGCGTCCCCGGGCCAGTAAATACCAGCCTTATAGCTGGGCGTTGGACTTAAGAACCCTGTGTGAAATGAACAAACTGTGTAATCGAGGGTTCGCCGTGTCCCAGAGTGTGAACTGCTTTACTATCCTTATCCTATGGAATCCTGGCAACAGCCCTGTTACTTCCATTTTTAAAAATAAAAGCATTACGGAGCTATAATTCCTGTCCCCTGGAGTTCAGTCATTCAAGGGGTCTGATTCGGTGTGGTCAGTATAGTTACAGAGTTGTGCAAGCCTCAGCACTCATTCCAGACTCTTTCCACCACCCCAGAAAGAAACCCCATGCCCCCTGCCCCTGGCAAACACTAATCTATGGATGAAGAAAATTGAGGCTAAAACCCCATCATATCGCCGTTTCTGGAGTTACCATCTGCAGACCACCTTCGTGGAACCACACAAGTTGCTGAAAGAGCCTTCTGGGGACCTTGCCCCGGACCTGCTGACTCTTCCTGGCCCGGCCGGGGCGGGGAGGGGCGGGGAAGGAACCTGCATTAGCAGTAAACTCCCCACCCGATTCCGTGGTCAGTGAGTTCGAAAGCCTGGTCGTGCTGAGCCAAATCCCAGCTCCAGGAACTTCTCCCCATCTCACATGGCGGGGGGGTCGGGGACGTGGAGAGCCCCCCAAATGATAATGCTGGAAATTTGCCACTGTTTTGTTAAAATACATGTCCCGTCAAATTGATCACCGGAAGCGTCTCTCGGGGTACAGTTGAGTGGCATTAACGAGCACATTCACTTTGTTGTGCAACCATCACCACCATCCCTTTCTAGAACTTTTTAAATCTTGTAATCACGGAAATTCTATACGTGCCAAACAGCAGCTCCCCGTTACCCCCCTGCCCCTCTCCCAGCCCCTGGCGTCCACCGTCTCTTCTCTGTCTGAATTGGATGATCCAGGTGCCTCATATACGTGAAATCCTGCCGTGTGTGTCCCGTGGCTGGCTTACGTCCCTCAGCGTCATGTCCCGAAGGTCCGGCCGTGTTGTAGCGTGGGGCAGAATGTCCTTTTGAGGCCGAGCAAGATGCCATTGTCTGGCCAGCCCCCATCATGCTTATCTGTTCGCTGCCCCCCTTTGGCTCTCGTGAACGGTGGGTGGGCCAGCCGCCCCGTGGATACCGGGCCCCCACCTCCTGGTTGTCTGACGGATGCTTTCCCCATTCACCGATTGCCCCTACCTGTTCGCCGCAGTTGCTGTGCAGACTGTATACGTGCAGCGGCCTGTCTCCTTCTTCGACCGTCCGGTCCAGATGTGCTGTCCTTCCTGCAACAAGATGATCGTGACTCAGCTGTCCTACAACGCCGGCGCCCTCACCTGGCTCTCCTGTGGGAGCCTGTGCTTGCTGGGGTAAGTCCGGGGCCCACTCGGCCCCCAGGCTCCTCCTCGTTCCTCTCTTGCAGGATTTCTCCACCGCAGCATGTCTGTCTGTGCCGGGGGGGGTGGGGGGGTGGGCAGGGGGAAGCGTGCACCGCTGGGTGTTCAGCTGTACCCCCTGGCCTGTGCACTCGATGCCTGTGGCACCCCTCCCCACACAGACATCGTCCCCAGTGGGGAACCACTGCCCTTGAGCAGATCAGCACCTGGAAAATGCTGTCCCCTCCCCGCCCGCTCAGACCACTCCCTGCGTGTAGGGGCAGGCACAACACCCCCAGCATCAGTGCTGGGTGATACCCTGAGGAATGTCTTTTTCTTTCTTTCTTTTTTTTTCTTGAAGAATTTCACGACCTAAATAATAATGTTTGCCCGACTCTGAGAGAAGCTTTGAACAACTTGCACATTAAAATACTTCGCAGTCATCTCTTCAACACTTCTTATCCTTTTAGGACCCCGCGTGTTTTTCCCATCGTCTACACAGGAAAAGTGTGTCTTTATGTCTGCCCCAAGGGTATGATATTGAAAGAGATCATAGTTTAAGTTCTGGGAGATATTTGAGGAAGCACAGTTTATTTATTTATTTGTTTTTTCCCCAAACAGATAAAGGCAGTTGCCTATTCCTGGCTCTGTTTTCTCCCTCGAAGGAAATAGTGTCTGTGCATTTCTCTTTTAGGAGCCTGGCCTCTCGGACAACTGGCTTGTTCCTCACTGTTTGTCGCTTAGCCTGAGAAGGAATGATATTTCTCTTCTTCATTTCGAAGGGAGGCGCAAAGGCCCCGGAGAGCTTGGCTTCCTTGAGGACACATGTTCAGTGGGGGTAGAAAGGAGAGCAGACAGGTTTCTTGGCACCGGATTCCCTGTCCTGCCCACGGGACTGCAGTGAAGGCTGACCTCTTCAGTCCCTGGACCAAAAATGTGAAATAAAAGCTCATCGTCCTTGGACATTTTATTAAAACTCATTTTTTTTTTTTTTAATCTTGGAAACCAGGGAAAGACAGGATGAGAACTCTTGAACGTCAGCCTCTGCTGATCTAGCTCTCAAATCGAGGCAGCTTTTCTGTCCCTCCCTCCTTTTGTTCCTTATACGTGGCGTTGTGGCTTCAATCCCTAACCTCTCACTGCTGTGTGACTGTGGGCAAGTGACTTCACCTCTCTGTGCTCCAGTTCCCTCTTCTGAAAACTGGAGGTAGTAATGCTCCCACCCAGGGAGGTTGTTGAGGATAAAATAAGTGAATATGTGTGTCCCACAACTTGTAGCTCTGAGCTCTGTTTGTATTCGTAAGAGTGTGGTAAGGATTAGTGCTAATGCACTGAGGTGCCCTTGCTTGAATTTGGGTAAACTTGGGCAGTAGGAGGAAATTTTTTGCATGAGGTTGTTTCCTCATCAGGCTCATAGAACCATTTTTCTTAAATGTATCCTGTTTCTCCTTTATGTAAATCATTGTCTTCCTGTAACTTGTTTTTTTTTAACTGAATCATAATGACATACAATAGTATATCAGTTTCAGACCTACAAGATAGTGATTCGATATTCTTATACATTATGAAATCGCCATGATAGGTCTTGTTAACCATCTGTCGCCCTATCAGGTTATGACAATGTTATGGATTATATTCCCCATGCATGTGTTATAAAATGTTGATTTTTAACTAAATCTGGACCAACGTTGGTTGTAAGGCTGTGGGGGTGTTTTCTGATACCATCTAGCTCTCCATAACCAGCTGGGTGTCTGGTGATTCAATTCAGTTCTGACACTACTTGGAGTTAGCACAGAGCCCACAGCTTAAGGACCCAGTCCCCTAGACTGCCCCCAGTAGAGATGTGAGTCACAAGCCTCAGGCCACCTGGATTTCTGACGACCAGCTATAAATTGAGGGTCCTACCATCCCTTCTTCCGGTTTGCTAATTTGCTAGAGCAGCTCACAGAACTCAGGAAGGCACTTTATTTACATTTACCAGTTTATTATGAAGGACACACTCTTGATGACAGAGGACAAGGTCAAGAAGGGTCCCCAGTGCAAGAGCTTCTGTCCCTGTGGACCTGGGTTGTTACTGCTCTCCTGGCACGAGGATGCGTTTACCAATCCCGAAGCTCTCCAAATATAGTTGTTCAAGTGTTTTTATAACCTGACCCCAGCCCCTGTCCCCTCCCCGAGGTCTGTGGCTGGGGCTGAAACTTCTTTTTTTTTTTTTTTAAAGATTTATTTATTTATTTTGAGAGAGTGAGAATGAGAGAGAGAGAGAGTACATGAGAGCGGGGAGGGTTAGAGGGAGAAGCAGGCCCCTCGCCGAACAGGGAGCCTGATGCGGGACTCGATCCCGGGACTCCAGGACCATTACCTGAGCCGAAGGCAGTTGCTTAACCAACTGAGCCACCCAGGCGCCCCTGGGGCTGAAACTTCTAACTTGGAACCATGAACCGAGGATCTTTCTGGTGACCAGCCCTATTCTAAGGCAGGGACCCTGCCCTGGTCGCCTTATTAGCATAAAATCAGGTGTGATTGAAAGGGGCTTGTTTTGAATAACAGAAGGCACTCTCTCCGTCACTCAGGAAATTCCCAGACTTTTGGAGCTAATTGCCAGGAACTGGGGACAGAGACCAGATCTATTTCTTATTCTACCACAGGCTATCTGAAACTCCTACCTGGGTGCACGGATAATTGATTATGTAGATTAAGAGATGTTATTTGGGGAATTTTGTTTGGTGGTTACTGTAAGAAGCGCCCTCTCCATATGGAAGAATAATCAGTCTAGACACCTGGGTTAGCAAACTGCAACCCTGGGGCCAAATCCAGCCCATTTTAGTTCTATGGGAACATACCACACTGTCTGTTGACAGATTATCTGTGGCTGTTTTGGCAGAACAAGGTTCGTGTAGCCTAAAATATGTACCATCTGGCCCTTGACACAAGAAGGTCACTGACCCCAATCTAAGACTGAAAGATGCTGGCATGCCCCAAAAGTTGAAAATACCCCCAGGGCGGTCTGTCTTGAGAGAACAGGCTCGGTGTGGGTTGGTGTATTCATTGCCGTGATGGCGGCTTCAAACAATACAAATCTATTCTCACAGTTTTGGAAGCCGGAAGTCCACAGTGAAGGTGCTGTGCTCCCTTGGGCGGAGACTCTAGGGTCCTTGGCTCGTGGCTGCAAGACTTCAGTCTCTGCCTGCATCGTCACTTGGCCTTTATCCCTCCCTGTCTTTCTGTGTGTCCCCTCCTCTTCTTGTAAGGACATCAGTCTTTGCGCCCACCTGGATCTTCCAGGACGATCCCATCTTGAGATCATTCATGACACCTGCAAAGACCCTGGTCCCAAGGACAGTCAGACCCAGAGTTCCTGCGGGCTTAGGACGGCCTACCTATCTTTATGGTGGCCACCATCCACAACTGTGACAGAGGGTGACACGCTCCGTGTCTGTTTTTGTCCTCCAGGTGCGTAGCGGGTTGCTGCTTCATCCCCTTCTGTGTGGACGCCCTGCAGGACGTGGACCACTACTGTCCCAACTGCAAAGCTCTCCTGGGCACCTACAAGCGCTTGTAGGACTCGGCCCGACCTGCAGGGTGCTGCGTGCTGCCGGAAGCGCTCTCCGCCTCTCACCCCGTCCCGCCCCTGGTGTGTGTGGGGTGGGTGTCCCACCTCGGTAGCCGCATCTTTCCAGGGGCTTCACCTTCGTGTCTTCTTTTGGGGGAAAAAAATATCGCAAAAATAACACACCTCCTCCAGAACCCCAGAGATGGCTGCTTGGAGTTGTGCACAGGACATGCAAAGACATTCACCTCCAGTGCTGGTTCCCACTTACCGTGTCGCCAAGTCACCCCACCTAACTGTGACTGTTGCCCCATCGGAATATCTTCTGGCGATTGGTCATCGGCTGGCTTCACTTCTTGCCTCCGTGGGCCTTTCTGGGGGGAGGTCTCAAGCTGAGAAGCCACAGGTTGCCTTATTTTTCGAGACTGTTCTGGCCCGAATACGGCTGACCCCACCTTTAGTGCCTGCGTCCGTTCACCTGTTCCCATTTCTGGTGACAAAAATCTTTGCCTCGTCGGCGAAGGGCTTGGCTCTCAGAACCTGTCAGTGCGGGCTTTTCATTAGCACACAAATTCACTTTACTTTCTTCATTCCTTTTTTAAGTGCCAGGAGGAGCTATTCCCACCCATGAGGTCCTAAATGTGAGCTGGAGATGCAGGGCTGGCTCTTACTGTGGACCTGCCCCCCCGCCCCCCAACCCCATTCTCGGCACCAGATCCTCAGCCCCTTCCGGGGAAGGGCTTTTTTCTTCTAGGGGAATTGTTTGTCTTAACGACCGTTTTTATGACCTCCTTTTGGTCTTAATTTTGAAAGGAGGGATTTATAGAACCATTTTTCTTAACCATATGATTGCTACCACTTCCTGTTGATCAATGCATTTTTTTTTTTGGTCCTTAACAGAAAAAGCAATGGATAATTTTATCCACTGCCTCTACCTGGGTTTAGTGCGGTTCTTAAAAACATCTGTAATGGGACTCTTCAAGGGGGACCTCTTTGGGAACCCCAGTGGTGTGTTTAGAGAGACAGAGGAACGCACAGGGTGAGCACATCTGGGTACCATGGTGCTGGAGAGCTTGGGGACCTGATGCTTCAAAGGAATCTAAATTCTGATTTTATTTTTCAGAAATAGAATTTGTTGTAGGACATCAGAAGACATGATTTCTAGGACTCAATCAACAAGCCAGAGTTCTCGGTTAGCTGCTGCATCATCTCCGAAATCAAGATAAAGCTGGGCTCGACTTTCTCGAGAGTCCCTGTTTTGATAATAAATAGGCACAGGGAATGCATGTGAATAATATTATGTAGAAATCAAGCCTAGACCTGGAACGAAAATCTGTATATTGGCCGAAAATTATAGTTGTAACCAGTGATCCAGCTTATTCATTTGATGTTTTGAAAGTTCCAGTAATTATTTTTGCAACGAATACGGATACTACATAGTACTTTGGTGTTATCTGCTTTTGAAAAAATAAAGTCTTTGGTTCACTTAGTGAACTATTTATCAGTTCTTACGGTGTGAAGAAAGGTCTTGTGTTGCGTTTCCAGCCACTGATACAAAGAACCTTTATTTGTTCCATGATGGCAGAAAACCCTTCATGATAAAAACGTCAGACTCGCTGAATGTCCCTCCACGTCAGGACGACTGATGGTGAGTTGGGTGGATGACTAGCGAGTCCGATTTGGACGTTAGGCTGTTGGAACTCACTGGGCATTATCTATGGTGTAAGGCATAGCTTTCAAGTTTTAATAAAATGCACAGAAGAAAGCTGTCCTCATTCATTCTCCAAACAAAACATGCTTTGTTAATTGATTGGGGCAGTTGTGAGATGCGAGAAGGGGGGCATTGTTAACTCTGCCGGGAATATGAATGTCATCCACCCTTCTCCTACCTGGTGATAAAGCTTCCTTCCGGAAGGCACAGGACAATCACGTCCTCTTGGTGTGGCCGACGTTGTCATTTAAACTCTTACCTTCAACAGTCCTGAAAAAATTGCCGCTCACCCGATCTTGAGCGTGTGTTTTCCTTTCATTTGACAAAATGAGGGCTGTGCATATTTAGTGGTTTTGCTCAGATGGGGGTATATAAATGGTCTCAAGCTGTTATTAATTACATATGCAGAGTCTACAAAACAAGAGCCCTATTTCAAGGACCATAAAACGTACACTCTGTGGGACTAAAAATAATGTCAGATGCCTGGAGTAGGAAGCCTCCATCCGTCATTCCCTCGTATTGTGCGGAGTGTGGGCTTACTCATATATGGTTACAAATTAAAAGGCTCTTTTGTTTGGCCTCTGTGCATCGGGGACATCGGAGTTAAGTTTGTTAACATGGAATCACATTCAATTAATGAAAGAGCCTTATATCTGCCTAGACCTCAAAGTAGAATTCTACCAATTTCAAGCCCCTGATGGCTGTCTGTCTTAACCTGCTGTTAGTCCATCTAGGAGAGGTGGGCTTCTGCAGAAGTGTGGGGTTTGTGTCTCGTTAACAAAAAGCATTCAGTTAGTTATAGCTTCTATTTGAGCCAACTAGAAGCACGTGACTGGTTCCTGGCTGACCACAGCGCTACCCATGAAAATGTTTTCTCTGGGACAATTGGCTGCCCAGTTGCTACTGTGAGCACTTCTGTTGGGCACTGAGCTATTCATAAATGTGGCTTCATACACTCACACAGCTTGGCCTCGGTTTTCTCCCCAGCGACAGCCTCTCATGTTCAGGATGTTAAAATCCTTCTCCGACTTTCTGGGCTCAAAGATCTCTATTAGGAGTAAATGGAGACATTGGAATTTTACTTCCAAAATTCTGATTTCCATTTTGGATCCTATTAAAGTTATCTCCTGCATTTATGACTCGAATGTTTACAATGAGCCGTCTGTTTTTCATAGGTGCACGGGAGAATTGTAAGTAGATCCAGCAAGGCGATGAAAGAGAGAAACCAGGAGGGGTTTTTTTTGGTTGTTGTTTTTTTTTTCCCCAGTCTTAAGAATTTGAAAGAAACAGATTCTAAGGCTCAGATTAAAACACACAACACACACACACACAAAACCCCAGTTCACAGCCAAGTATACCAGCTAGTGCATTTAACCGTTTTGTGACTAATCTCCTCAGTATTAGGAAAATGTTCATGCATTTAAGTACCTTTATTTACCTTTTAAAGAAGCTATTTGAGATCAGTTTTAGGCTCACAGCAGATCTGAGTAGTAAGTACAGAGATTTCCCAGGCATCCCCTGTTCCCCACATATGCACAGCCTCCCCCCAGTAGAGGGGACATATGTTACGACTGATGAACTTGCATGGACCCATTAACACCCAAAGTCCATAGTTTCCATCAGGGTTCATTCACTCCTGGTGGTGTACCTTCTATGGGTTTGGACAAAGGTGTGATGACGTATGTCTACCATTAAAGTATTCTCCAGACTGGTTTCACTGCTCTGCGCTCTGTCTTTTCATCCCTCCCTCCCCCTTAACCCCTGGCAACCACTAATCCTTTTACTGTCTCCACAGTTTGGCTTTTTCCAGAATGTTCCAGACTTGGAATCATCCAGGATGGAGCCTCTTCAGATTGGCACCCTTCCCTTGGCATTATGCATCTAAGGTTCCTCCCTGTCTCCTCCTGGCCCAAGAGCTCATTTGTTTTGGATGCTGAATAGTGTTCCGTGGTGCGGATGTGCCACACGTTCAAGTGGGTCTAAAGCTCTCGTGCTGCCGCATCTCCTAAGTGCTCGTGCACCGTTTCCCAAATAGGCAGCATCAGCCTTGCGGTGCGTGCAGGGTGACGGAGCATCACAGAGCACAGTGTTGTTTGTGAACCTGTGTGTGTAGAGTCGTGCATGTGTGTAGGGAGGGGCATCGCAGTGCAAAGTGAGTGCTAAGGGTGACATCTGGGAACCTCCGATCTGCCACCTCTTGTCTTCGTGTTATCGTTGATTGACTCCTGTCTGGTCGTACAGCTGGGGTACCAAACACCGCCCTGCCTGGGAAGACTGAGCAGTGGGCCCCTCCTAGCCCTGCCAATAGGTCTGGGGGCTTCTGTTTTTTTAAGCTAAAATTCACCTGCCGTGAAAGTGCTGTTAGGAATGTTCGAGGTGCTATGCAACCCTCACCTCTACCAAATTCTGCACATTTTCATCGCCCCCCCCCACATAAAATTACACCCCCCTGAAGCAGTCATGCCCCTTTGCCTCCTCCCCGGGCACCTGGCAGCCTCCCATGGGACTTCTGTTTCTCTGAATTTACCTATTTTGCATATTTCATATAAATGCGGTCCTCTGATCTGTGGCCTTCCGTGTCCGGCTACTTTCATGCAGCCTGTTTTTGTTTTTGAGGTTCATCCATGTCGTAGCAGATCTCAGTGCTTCCTGCCTTTTAGTGGCCGGAAAGTATCCCATGGTGTGGACACACTAGCCCACAGTTTGTTTGGGCTGTTATGAACAGCGGAAGGTGCCGTTCACGTTGGTTTGCGGGTTTTCGCGTGGACGTCTGTTTTCGGTTTTCCTGAGTATCTACCTGGAGTGGAATTGCTGAGCCATACAATAATTTGGTTTAACTTCTTGAAGAACCTCCCTGCTGCTTCTTTTTATTTTTTTATTTTTTTTAAAGATTTTATTTATTTATTTGACAGAGAGAGACAGCGAGAGAGGGAACACAAGCAGGGGGAGTGGGAGAGGGAGAAGCAGGCTTCCCGCCGAGCAGGGAGCCCAATGCAGGCTCGATCCCAGGACCCCGGGATCATGACCTGAGCCAAAGGCAGACGCCCAGCGACTGAGCCACCGAGGCGCCCCTCCCTGCTGCTTCTTAAACACGTTTCCTATTGCAAAGCCACCTCTAGCAAGGGATGCCCTTTGCGAACCGAGCTGGCATGGAGAACTTGGTCATCTCCCACAACAAGAGCCATTTGGAGTAGTTTGCTGGCCACAGAGCTGTGTTCGGAGCAACCTGCCCCCCAGGCTGGCCCGCCTTGATTCCTGGGCTCATCTGAACCCTCTTCAATCCTTCTGGGGCTCTTACTGA